CTCAGCCTCCCTAAGTGTTGGGATTACAGGTGTGAGCCACCATGCCTGGCCAGTCTCACAGCTTTAAATGTTATCTATGCGCCGACTGTGCTGAAACTTTTATCTCCAGCGTGGACCCCTCTCCTGAGCTCGACTCTGACTACCCCACATCTCCACCAGAATGTCTAAAAAGCACTCAGACCTGACATGGCCAAAACAGAATCCCGATCTTCCCTATACTCAAGCCAGCTCCTTTCACCTCTCCATTTTTCCAGCAGCTCAGGCTAAAAATCACGAAGGTATCTTGGCTCCGCTCCTTCCCTCACACCCCACACTCAATCTGTAAGTCCTGTAGGCTCTACCTTCAATGTCCTTCTCCCACCTCCGCCGCTGCTCAGCCATGGAGGCTTCCTCTGTTGCCTTGATTATAGCAGTGGCCTCTGGACTGTCCTTTTTTTTTTTTTTTTTTGAGAGAGTCTTGCTCTGTCACCCAGGCTGGAGTGCAGTGGCCCGATCTCGGCTCTGGGTTCAAGCGATTCTCCTGCCTCAGCCTCCCGAGTAGCTGGGATTATAGGCACCCGCCATCATGCATGGCTAGTTTTTGTATTTTTAGTAGAGCTGGGGTTTCACTATGTTGACTAGGCTGGTTTCAAACTCCTGACCTCAAGTGATCTACACGTCTCAGCCTCCCAAAGTGCGGGGATTTATAATCCTGCCACCATCTTGCCCAGCCTGGACTGTCCTTCCTTGACTTTGTCCCTACATTCTCATCTCAACCCAGAAGCCAGGGTGGTTCTAGGCCCCGCCTCTGTCTGCAGTGCCCTTCCCCCAGACATTCTCATTACTTGCTCCCTAACCTTCAGATCTTGACTCAAGTATCACCTCATATTTGCCTTTCCTGAGCATCCTAGTTAAAACTATAAATCTTTTTTTTTTTTTGGAGATGGATTTTCATTCTTGCTGCCCAGGCTGGAGTGCAATAGCGCGATCTTGGCTCACTGCAACTTCCACCTCCCTAATTCAAGTGATTCTCCTGCTTCAGTCTCCTGAGTAGCTGGGATTACAGGCATGTGCCACCACGCCTGGCTAATTTTGTATTTTTAGTAGAGACAGGGTTTCTCTGTGTTGGTCAGGCTGGTCTTGAACTCCTGACCTCAGGTGATCCTCCCGCCTTGGCCTCCCAAAGTGCTGGGATTACAGGCGTGAGCCACCATGCCTGGCCTTTTTAATTTATTATTTTTATTTTTTGAGACAGAGTCTCGTTCTGTTGCCCAGGCTGGAGTGCAGTGGCCCGATCCTGGCTCACTGCAAGCTCCGCCGCCTGGGTTCACGCCATTCTCCTGCCTCAGCTTCCCGAGTAGCTGGGACTACAGGTGCCCGCTACCACGCCTGACTAATTTTTTGGTAATTTTAGTAGAGATGGGGTTTCATGGTGTTAGCCAGGAAGGTCTCCATCTCCTGACCTCGTGATCCACCCACCTCGGCCTCCCAAAGTGCTGGGATTACAGGCGTGAGCCACCACGCCTGGCTTTTATTTATTCATTTATTTTTTGAGACCGAGTCTGGCTCTGCTACCCAGGCTGGAGTTTAGTGGTGCTATAGGCTCCCTGCAACCTTCACCTCCTGGGCTCAAACAATCCTCTAACCTCAGTCTCCCACGTAGCTGGGACCACAAGTGCAAACCACCACGCCTGGCTAATTTTTTTTTCTTTTTTAATTTTTTTGTAGAGACAGGGTCTCACTCTGTTGCCCAGGCTGGTCTCAAAGTCATGAGCTCAAGCAATACGCCCATCTCAGCCTCCTAAAGTGTTGGGATTACAGGTGTGAGCCACTGTGCCAGGCCAAAACTATAAATCTTGACCTTCCCTGTCCTCTCTCCCTGCTTTTTCTTCCTTCTAGAGCCTGTATCATTTAACTTACTATGTATATTATTTATTTGTTACCTATTTATTTCATCTATTATCGGTTTCCTCCTTCCAGCATACAAGGGTGGTGCCTATTCTGTTTCTTATTGTTGTTTTCCTTGCTGCTTGGAACAATGCCTAGCATACAGTAGACACTGGATAAATGTTGCTGAGGCCACCACTGAACTGAGCACTAAAGTTGGAATAATGAGGCTAAGCACAGTGGCTGACGCCTATAATCCTAGCACTTTGGGAGGCCAAAGTGGGAGGATCACTTGGGCCCAGGAGTTTGAGACCAGCCTGGGTAACACAGTGAGACCCCATCTCAACAAAAAATAAATAAATAAAAATTGAGCTGCGTGTGGTAGTGCACGCCTGTA